AGATACAGCTTTTTTTGTTGTATCTTCAGTGATAAATGCCTGCTGACTGACTAAGAAAAAAATATCTGAGCATCTCAATGAGGCAAGTGTTTCAATTATCTGTTCTAGCGTAAGAATCCAACTAGTGTCCATTAACCACTGAACAGAAGTACTCTAAACACAGACATTTTTTAATGAATTTCTAAAGTCATATCTGATAAGCACTAAGCAGAAAGATAACAAAAGCCAAGCTTTATTGAGCACTTACTATGTACTGAGCATTTTGCATGTGTATTTACATGAATTATTATTATACTCAGTTCTTATATGGATTCTGTAAGTGAATAAATTTTTTGAAGATGAGAACAGTGAGAAATATAGGGATTAAGTAATTTGCCCAAAGTCGCGCCAGTTTGTAGTAAACGGTAAACCAGGATTCGGCCCCAGGCAGTCTGATCCAGAGATCATGCTTTTAACTACTATGTTATATTGTCACCCAAGATCTGCTAGTTGTTAAATTTTTCTTTTCTACAAATAAGCAGATTGCTTTTCCCCTTAATTTCTTTTGAAAAGACACTGAGCTTCTTTTAAAAAATGTGCTTTGTTGGGAGATCGCTGACACTAACCTAAAGGCATTTACTTATGAGACACTGTGAACAACTGGCATCAAGGTTAGCCAATGAAGTTACACTAGGACAATCACAGCCACAAATACGGTCATGTTCAAACCATAGAGCTAATCAACATTTGGAACAATCAACAGCTGAAGGAACTAAATGCTTCCTTCTTTGGAGAGTTTGTAATGCCTTAAAATCCAAACAATCAAAATGCTGCATTGAAAGCCAAGGTCTTTCTAGGAGGTTGCTTTGGCTGTGGGGCATTTTTCAACATCATGCAAAGAAGGAAAGGAATGATACGTCTGAGTACTTGATGAACCTCAGAGTTCCATCTACTTGCACAGAATGTCAACAGCTGGAGTAGAAGTCCCCATAGAGGGGTCTCCAGACCAGCCAGATCAGCATCACCTAGAAACTTGTGAGAAATGCAGACCCCACCCCACACCTACTGAATCAGAAACCCTAGGAGTGGGGCCCAGCCATGTGTGTGTGAACCAGACCTTCAGGTGTCCCTGACGCCCACTAAATCTGAGAACTGCTGACATAGCCACTGGGCTACCAAACAGCTGCCCCTCAGACTTAGGGTTGTAATAGTGTTGTTCACCATTCCTCTACGTTAAACACTAAGCAATATCTGCAGTTTACAAGCATTACTTATATATGTTTTCCTGTGTCACAGGTTTGCCTATAATGAAATTAGATATAAAAAATTTAAAAAAGCCTTGGTTGAAAAAAAGGCTGAACTTTGTTACATTATAACCTGTATTTCATCCTCCATCCTAAATGAGCATGTCTGAGCACACTGCTGAGTTGCTGATAAATTTCAGAATCTTTAGTTGCCTACTAATCTCACCTCAAAAACTGCCACTGTTTACATTCAGTGTTTACCTGTATTTTATAACATTTATTTCATGCTTCTTTGGGAAGAAAGTAATGACTTTAAAATATGAGGTGGATTATACTTGTAATTATACAAAGTAATCCTCTAAGGCCTTTCTAACTATGTGGAAAATAGCACTTACCTAAGTACAATAGTAATTGCTCAAGCAAAATAAAATTTCACTTGCACAGTAAAATTCTATTCATACTTGCTGTTTTAAGTGGTAAGGAGAATAAGAACTGTAAGTCTAGAATCTTGAGAGAAATTTTTTCCTCTTCATCCTGATACATGGTGCCCTTTGTACCCTCTGATTCATAACCCACTTGGGTCATGAAACATTCATGAAGGGAAGCTGGTGCTAGTAATGGAGTCCTGTTAGGTCAGGCTTCACAGGAAAGACAGATCATATTTCACTGGTGAAAGTGCCTCTAATCATAAAAGGAGGTGGCTTGGGACAAAAATATTAATGCTTTCTTTTTTCTTCACCTAATGCCATTCATGACTCATTCATGACATTAGTGTACAAATGCACAAAGTTGATTTCTTACCATTAGCCACATTTTAAAATTCACTTGTTTGTTTATTTCATTAATGAGGGAACCGGCAGGAAGACAAAAGAGTTGGTTCCAAAAGCAAAGGAACAGAGACTTACATAGCCAGTTGGGAAAGAAAGGGCAAAATAAGTTTGCCAAGTTAGACATGAGATTGGTTAACGTTCTATAAGACAATAAGATCATCTCACCTTTGGGGTTAACTTCTCTACCAGGCTCTAATACCCTAAAAACTTAACCATTTTAAAAGGTTGTAACCATCTGCACCTTTATGTTTGTTAATCAAATATATTGTGACCCAAGAGTGTCAGATGAGGGTTGTAGTGGGCTGAGTGGTGGCCAGCAAAAAGATAGGTCTCCAACCTAATCCCAGGAACCTGGGATAGTTAATTTCATTTCTGTTTTTGGACCCTGTTCCTTCCCTGCCCCGACTGCCTGGTTTAGGAGCAGTTAGTAGCTTCCACAGGACCCAGAGAGTAAGGGACGATGCTTGTGCATGGTGGCCACTGCACTTGGCCCATCCGAGAGCAAGGTTTTCGTGCCTACACAGGTCCCAGTGTGCCCTCGCTGCCTTCCCTGGTCTCACCTCAGGCACTGAGGTGCTCACAGGCCTTGCTGTTTGCTAGGCGCCTCACTAGGGCATCCTGCAGCCATTCCTCTCCCCAAATCCAGGGCTTTGCTATCACAGACCTCTGCCACTCCAGACATGGGACAAAAACATCCCCTCACAAACTCCTACACGCTCTCCTTAGCCTCCTGGATTGGCCAAGAAACCTTGGCTGAGAACATATAGTTACCTCTGGGAGTAGGGGCCAAGCAATACCTTTAATCCACTCATTCATCTGTTCCCTGACAGCATATTTTCCACAAATGTTTACTGGTTGTTTATGAAGCACCTACTACTTGCAAGTGATACCCAGGACACAGCAGTAAATACATCAAGGAGGAAAAAACATAATGTTTCCATAAATTAACCTCCCACCTTCATTAAAGCAAAACACAGTCTAAGGCTGTTGTTTGTGCTCGCAAGAGTTTATAATAATTACTTCATTAGTTCTTCAGCCCACAATATTCTTGAGGGGCTCTTGGTTGAGTCCCTCAACCATGCAAGAACCTCTGAGGGACAGCTTTTCTATATTCTGCATCTTTCTAACACGGCTAGTGGAACACAGAGGCAGGACAGGACAGTGGTTATGAACGCACCCTAAAGAACCAGCCCTACCGCCTCCCAGCTGTGAGGCTTTGGGCAAGTCCATTAAGTTCTCTGTGCCTGTGTCATGGAGTTGATGATACCTATGTCACAGGTTGTTGAAAGGCAAATTGACTTATAGTATCAAAGGACTTAGAGCAGCGTCCAGCGTGTAGTGAGCCCTGGTATTACTACTGTGTAATAGTAAAAGGAGGGGGCAGTGTCCTTTTGAGGACCAGTGATGGTGGAGAAAGAATGAAAAGTAACTGAGCTGTACAAATGGTAAATGCTGGGTGAAAACAAAAGTTTTGCTACAGAACAGTGGTTTCCAAACATGACTGTTTTCAAAATCACCAGAGGAGCTTTTCAAACATTTAATGCCCAGGCTCCACCCCCAGAGTCTTATTTCATTGGCCTGGGATGGGGCCCATGCCTGGTCAAGTAATTCCCATAGAAGCCAGGATTGAGCATCCCTGAGCAATCTATGGGCCCAGGAGCTAACCCCAACCTGAAATAAAGGAGGTGAGGGAACTTCACTCTACAAGCCTCTCTCCTCCTGCTTCCCAAGTCCTAGCTGCCTTATCAGTGCAATCCTATCCTGCAGCCTATCTGTAGGCCTTCTTGGAGCATGAAATCACTTGTCGGGCCCTGAACTAGGTACAGGGTACAAAAGGAACCAGACAAAATCCTACCCGCAAAGATCCCACAGTAAAGCAGAAAGATAGACTAGAAAACACGAGATTGTAGGGAGAAAAATTGGGAACACCAAAGGTTCCTGGAGAGAGTTCTGAACAAGCTACAGTAGATAGTACTTGCTAGGAAAACCCTGGGAAAAGAGTGACATAGACCTGTAAGTACTAATTGTGGAGACTCTCCAAAATATATTGTTGAGTAGAAAAAAGGTAAGCTACCAAATATCATGTACATGTTTCAAAAAAATTTTTGAAATGCATTGCAATAGTATCTGTGGGTACATAAATATATATATGTAACCACAAACAGAAAAGGTCTAGAGGTACACCTCTTATTTTTCCATAATCAATTTTTTTCCAAAAGAATGTATTCATCATTTATGAAATTAAAAATCAATACCTTTTTTTTAAATTCCAGTAGACTCTTTGGGGGGTTTTCTGGAAATATTTGCATTTAGCTAAGATGTGTGTCACATTGCCTATTAATTGTGGCAAAGCAGTCGACGTTATCAGACATGATTTTATCTAAGTGACTGTTATTTAACAGAGAGTAATGTCTTGAGGAAATGGGACAGGAGACACATGCACCATTAGAGGGACGGCAAAGGGAAGAGAATTCAGCATGAGGACGTGCTTTATATCTAAGGAATAAGACCTAGCTGCCACCTTTCGTCTCCTCAGCTTTCAGTTTTCCCTGAGGCCGATCCTTCCCACAAGCTGAAAGCTCGAATATCAACGTCTATGTCAGTCTTCTAATGGAGATGGTCCATCCTAACTTCATATTAGAATCACTTGTTTCTAATACTGGTACCAAGACCAATTAAAGTAAGATCTTTGGGAAGTTGGGCCTGGGCGTTGGTTTTAATATGACCAGGGCTGAGACCCACTGTTAGAAGAATCATTTACACATGCGCACAAATGTCCTGGCGCCATTCCGGTTTGGGCATCATCATGCTTGCAAAATGCTCCAAAAACGCTGTCAGTTGCAGGTGCTGCTTAAACTGTAGGGGAATCTAGAGAAAGGAAAAGATATTTGTACTTTTGTGTTAAGCGATTCCAGTATTATAACACCATGCGTTTGGTTTATTTTAGGCTCGACTGACCAAAGAACAGCGCTGGGGAAGTGCATTACTCTCCAGAAACCACTCCTTAGAAGAGGAATTTGAAAGGGCAAAAGCAGCAGTGGAGGTAACCTTTTTGAAAATTGTTTTTTTGTTTCATGTTGCTCAGAATGGGATTCAAAAAAAATCAAACCTCAGTAGGAAACATGTGAAATGGGTCTTACTTTACAGACATGAAATAACCATGATTATGATTGTTAGACTGAGATCTGTTACCGGAGAACTTGATTTCCCATCAGGGCTGACTAATAGATGTTACCTCTTATGCCAATTCTGGGATGGATTAGCAAGGACTGTCTGGAGTCCTGGGTCAGAAAGGACGCTGAGCCCCATCTGGGGTCTTTAATGAATCTATGCTATGCCTTTGCTATGCCTCTGTGTGAGGTCAAGGTTCATGCCTGACATCTTTCTCTCTCTAGCATCTACACAATGTCTGAAACATAGAACATCTTGCTGCCCCAGAATTATTGTACATTTTTCTAACTGAAAAAGGATGGCTGAGCTATTCCAGCCAATGATGGGCCTGTCTTGACTTGAGCTACAAATTTTTAGTGTTAAAAGTATCGAAAACAATGACAATGTTGATAAATCAAATGGAATACTTAACTTGAACATTGATTTCCTTACTTAGCCTTCTAATGAGAAAGAAAGAAAGAAAGAAAGAAAGAAAGAAAGAAAAGAAAGAAAGAAAGAAAGAAAGAAAGAAAGAAAGAAAGAAAGAAAGAAAGAAAGAAAGAAAGAAAGAAAGAAAGAAA